AGAGAGAGAGAGAGAGAGAGAGAGAGAGAGCGGACAAGTAGGCGGACCAGGGTCCGTCCGCGAGGCGCACTGCGGTGCGACAACTCGCAAAACACTATTTGCGGCGGTGCAGCCTTTAGAAACGAGGGCGGGCAACAAAAACCCCCTCCCCCGGCGCAGTGCGACAGACGCTACAGACGGCGGACAGACGGTGAAGATCTCACCTGTCAGACCGCGTGAAGAAAGTGGCCCCAACAAGAAAGGCGACGTGCTGACACGTGGCTAGGCGGCTTGGCAGACCGCCAGTTGGGCGCTTGGCCGCTAAGCGGCGCGCAGTGACGGGGCACCCCCGCCCCCACGCCCTGACACCGTGGACGCGGAGCCACGCGTACACACGGGCAGGCAGAAAGGAGGAGATTAGCGCGGGGCACCAGGTGGAGCGCCGCGGAACGATGACAGCATAGCTTGGATGGTGAGTGACGGCGCGGCACCATCGGGCGAGGGCGTAAGCAGCTCGGCGAAGGCTCGCCCGGCGCTGTGGAGGCGCTGGAGTAGAGGGCCTTGGCGAGCTTGGGCGGCGGCGAGGTCCGCGGCGAGAGCAACGCTCCTCTGCTGGAGAGCGGCCATAGCCTGGGACAGCTCGGTTTCGCGGTCGGTGAGGGGTAACTGCTCAGTGCCAGCAGCCGCGGGCCTCGTGACAGGGGCGAGGTCCTCGGTACGCCTGGCCAGGTGGTGGACTAGCGTAGTACGGCACCCCGTATGCTGACGTCCGTCACCCTTGAAAGGTGACTGGAGGGGAGCACGCGGCCCCAGGGCTGGAGCCGCTAGGGTCACGCCCCAAGAGGTCGGAAGAGCCGCATCCTCTCGCTCAGCAACGATGGAAGCCTGGGCGGGGTGCGAGGGCCTGCCTGGTTCAGTGCCTTGCGGGGGGGCTGAAGCCGCCCCCGCGGGTTGCCGCTGGTGGGGGGGCAGAATGGTTTGCGCGGTGGGGCCAATCCTAATGCCGTGCGAGGGCTCTGAGGTCAGCCGCGTAGTAGGGTGGCGTCTCGGTAGGGCGGCATGGTCGGCAGCGTGGGGTGTCGGCGGTGCGTCGTCTATGCCACTCAGTCCGCGGGGGTCACCCAGGTCGTCGTCGGCGTCTTGGCGGTGACCGATATCGTCATATGGGAGCGATGACGCTCTCGGAGATGGAGTCGCGGTAGGCGTCGAGAGGTTGCCCGACGGGGCAGGGTTGTCGCTGGCTGGGCCGTCGTCCAAGACGTTCAATCCCCCACCGAAGTTGAACGGGTCGTCCTCTTGTTCGTCAGCGTCTTGGAGGTGAGCGGCGTCGTCATGTGGGTGCGGTGCCGCTCTCGGTGGCGGAGTCGAGGGCGTTGTGCGGATGCCCGACGGGGCAAGGTTGGCGCTGGCTGGCCCGTCGCCTAAGAAGTCAAGTCCCCCGCCGAAGCCGAACGGGTCGTCCTCCTGTTCGTCGAATATCGCCCGTTGGGCCTCGGCCCAGAGCTCGTCCGGGTTCTGTGGGATGTCTGGTCCAGCCGCGGGTGGTGCCTGGTCCGACAGCAGGGGGTTTGGTTCCATTTGGTTGAGTTCCGCAGCTGTAAACCCAGCCCTGCGGTGTGGGAGCGGGAGTGTGCGGTGTCTACGCTCGTAGATGGCGACAGCGACCCCATGAAGCACGGTCGCGTGGCGATGTCGTGTTTTGGCAGCTTCGACAATGTCGTCTGGAAGGTTGTGAGTGCGTGCCGCCGTTGTGGCGAGGGCGTCAGCCTGACGATTGAACTCCTCCGCAATGGGCCCGATGAGCCCGAGGTCGATGCCCATGTCTCCCAGGTGGCTGGCGATTTTTTCGACGCGGAACATGTTGGGCTTGGCCATAACACATCGGTGGATCTTTTCCCAGAGCTCCACGTGCGTGCCCTGCGGTGCTGGGTGTCCGTCGATGATGCTTTGGAACCCATCGACCACCGCCGGGTTGTCCACGAAAACGTGCACGGGCCGTTCAGCACATGCCGTAAGGTGGACAATGGCGAGGGTCTCCGCAAGCTGGGCGTTCTGCGTAATGCCGTGAACGCGTGCACTGTAGTTCATGCGGTGGTCGATGCCGTAGTAGACGCCGTAGCCCGCTCGTGCTAGCAATGGGATGGCTTGGTTGGTGCATGCACCGTCCGTGGCAGCGTAGACCCATGTCCAACCAGTGTCGTGGTCAAGGTAGGTGGTGTAGGAGTCCTGGGCTGAAGCCGCAGGATCTCCCTCAGGGGGGGCCGCGGTATGGGCTGAGGTAGCGGGTCCCTCGCGAGGTCGGCCTGCAGGTCGAGGAGGGCTGGGTCTTCATCGAAGAGCCCGCAGTGTCTTGTGTGCGGCGGGAGACGGGCCCACTGCTCGTCACTGATGGGGGTGGTGAGAGGGAGTCTTTCTCGGGCCCAGCACTTGCAGTCGCGGACAGTGTGCTCCTGAGTTTCCTCTTCCTCGTCGCAGTATCGGCAGATGGGGCTGGGGTCAGCTGACGTGTTTGATCGGGATCGTCGCTGTTGGGTGTGTCCCCGCCCGACAGGTAGTTCAGGAGGAGCGCCAGCTGCCAGGCAGTGCATTTGGCTGCTCCTTTCGTTCGGGCGAGCCACGTGCTGGCGAAGAGGTCGAGGCCCTGTCTGACATAGGCAAGGTATCCAAGGTCGTGACGCCGTGGCTTGATCCTCCTCAGAAAGGCTCTGCGTTGTGAGGCCCGCAGCATGTGAAGGAAGGCGTTTTGGGGTAAGTTCAGCCAGCTGATCTGGCAGCCCCAGTCGTCGTACATGATGCCAAAAGTGGGCCAGGTCCAACGGAGCTGCTGGAGCGACTGGACGAGTCGTCCGACAGGTCCTCCACCAAACAGGGTCTGGACGTGGTGTTGGAGATCTCTGGCGAGACCGCAGAGTGTAACGTCACGGTTAACCTGTCGCCGCAGGCACAGGAAAGCTTCACGCTGCGTGATGGCGTCAATCTCCAGGGCGTGTCCTGGGACGCACACGGCCATGAGAGTCCAGAACTCGACCCACTTGTTCCCCTTGGGGCGGATAGCCGCCTTGAGGGCGTGTTGTAGGCAGTTTTGGCTGGGCCTGATGGTGCTTGAATGTCGGTGCCCGTGGTACAGACGCTGGCAGCAAGGGAACGGGCGTGCCGCGCCTTGATAAGCATCGGCGATGGGAGCTTGCCAATGCGCGGCAGGCGACTAGTCGCCCTCCGTACACGGGCGTCAGCGGTGGCCGTGAGGTTAAGCGCGGCTGGAGCCGGCGCTGCCTCGGCGTTGATGTAACTCCCGACGAGCGTGAAGGAGTCGACCACGCGTAAGGGCCGTTCCGCCAGAGTGAGCTGGGTAACGGCGGCGTGAAGCTCGTCGGTGAGCGCCCACCCCGCCACTTTGCCAGGGTGAATGCGTTGACCTGAGAATCGATCAAACTTGGCGGTTTCGTCAAGAGATTTCTGCAGCTCAGACGCGGTGTGGGTAGTGGAGTTGCTGTCGTCAACAAAGGTAGTGCTGAGTGATCGAGGAACGTATCGATGCTGTCTCTTTGTCCACACACACATGAGCAGCTGGATGTCGTCCAGGGACCATGAGCTTCCCTGGAGGTGCCCGTTGGTCCTGGCCAAGTCCTTAGAGTACGCTCCGTTCATGCGGATGTAGCGTTTGTGGCGACTGTAGAAGTTTCGGCGGACAGTAACGATGTCCTGGGGGCACCCCGCGTGAAGCGCAAGGTTAAGGCAGATGTCCGTGA